AAAATCCCAGGAAAACAGCTTACCCATTCAACTTGAAATCTTTACAGATGCAAGAAAGCCAAGAACAGACTGGTGCCGGAAGACCTGATTAGGTTAAGGGCATGCTGGGTAAATTACACGGCGACCGTCTTTGCTCTTCAAAGTACGATATAAATCACTCTGTGTCTTTGTACAAACTTGTTCAGTGTGAATTTCAAATGTCCAAAAAAGGGAAGAATTCAGCTCACATTACTATTTACTACATTATCACAAGTGATGGCTTCAAGAGTAGGTCATTTTCTTCGATTATGAAACATCTGAGTTAAAAATCAATTGTGAGGTTTTACTTTAAAATCATTTTTACGAAAAATAGCATGGTCCTCCATATTAAGTTGGAATAATCTTGGAACCGATCCCGATCCGTCTTTCTTGTTTTCAATTTTATTAGATATAGAAATGTAAATCACATTCCCAGAGTAGAGCAGTCCGAACACTATGCCATCTTTTATCTACTAAAATTCACAAATATTAACAATCCTTTCATCGAACAAAATATTAATATTTTTGAAGAAGGATGCTTCCTGGTGGTGGAGACAGACCGCCATGACGGACTCCACTGGACAAAGTTAACATAAATACTCCAAATACAAACCCTAGTATGTACTTGTATGCGAAAGAAACTGGAAAAGGATGAAAATGTTAATTATAGAATTGTTTTACTTTGCTGGGGGACGCACCTTTGTACTTAACTCATTATAAGAGGCATAAAATGAGTGCAAAATAACAAGGTTTTGACGTATCTTACCTAAAATCATGAATCTTTGAACTTCTGTTTTTTGGAAATCTTTAATAAAATGAATCATTTTCACAATTAATATTCATGAGATCACATCAAGAAGTGAGTTTAATTTGATCGTATGTCCAAACTCAAGTGTTTTGTGTGTGATTTGATAATAATACGACGCATTGCTACTGCACCGAATGACCTCTATACGTTAGTATTGTATATCTGTAACGATTTTTTATAAAAAATAAACTTGTTCTGAACCCTTTCCGACCGCAGAATCAGTTATCCGTACGATTCTGTCGCGACATGGATAATTATCGTAATGGTATCTATTATGTGATAATAGTGTCACTTATGGAAGAATGAATTTATAAGCATCAAGTTGCAGAATAAAACAAGACAGGAAGTAAATGCGATTGATGAGATAAACGTAATGAAATTGTGACGTGATTTATTGAGGTTCTAAATTGGTGGTCGTCGACAGAGTGGTGATATGTTATTGCCAAATTGCATTGTTTTTACAAGAAACAGGAAATCTCAATTTGCAATATTTATATTTTGGAATAATTGTAAATATTGGCACAAAGTAAAAATAATAGTACAATGGGTACAAAAATGAAAATGAAATAAGAGACCGTTTGTTAAAAAGTATTGATTCAGCAACATGTGAAGCGACAAGCGTTGCTCCTATATTAATTCATAAAACAGCAAATCATGTGTACAGTGAACACCTTTGGAGCCACAAAAATATGTTCACTGTAAGTATTGGTGTTCACTACAGAGAGGTGATTTTGTACAGAAGTCAGTGGAGAATCTGTTCAGAAGGCTCAGAAGGGGTGTTCACCAGACAAAGGTGTTCACTATCTGAGAGGGGTGTTTATTAAGACAGGTTTCACTGTATATGAGATCACAAGGTCACGATACTAGTAAATTGCACCTAGTGTTCAATAATAAATGGGATTTCTTATCTTAAGTTTAATAATTCAAGAAATTTTTATCAATATTTAAAAAGTCGGTCAAAACAAACAACATGACATGAACAATGATGAAGGACTTTATTTGTTTGACGTCAGTAAAATGCCAAATCAGTCTGAGATAATAAAGGATCCTCTAGATCCGGTCTCAATGGGCTAATCACAATGATCCTAGATTGTGGCGGTATTAAAGATAGAATCAGACATTCAGGCATATAACATGAGAAGGGTGGCAAAATTTGTAAGTAATAGTAATGTTCCACCAATGTGTCCATCATTCTTTAAGTAATCAAAATATCCATAATATCCATATATTTTTATATATCCATATATATTTTATAATATGTAAAAATATTCTGTTGGTTTTATGTTAAAAGACTGATAGGAGCATGCAATGTTATCTTAGTACACAAATGGATATTTATTAAATTTTAACGACACGACAATAGGCATGGAAAATAAATGATATGAGATCAAACTATTGCACAAGACAGAATTTTGGGAAAGTTGCCCTCTACAAGTGATATCATGTCATCAGTTCCATTTAGTGCTAGATAAAAACTTGTTTTAGTACCTCTTGTCATCTGACAAGACCAAACAATATTTAGTATGGACTGTTATGGTTGCTTCGCACCATTGCTCATAGTCATTTTAATCATTTTTTAATCATTATATAAAGAAAGGCGCACTGATTTTGTATGAGATTTATTCTAATCGGTATTGAGAGTGTCAGAGATAGTAATTAAAGGTCTTCGTTAGATATGTTAAAAAGTTATCATGAAAAACGATCATTCCGAGTGCAGGAAATCCGCGCCTTTTTTTCAGCAACTTCGTATTGGATCATACTAGACGAATTTGGACATTGAATTATCATTGCATGTGCTGGATCATTTTCTCTCTAAATAACAGCTTTTCAGTTATAATATGTGTGAAAGTATTGAAATTTCTTGTCAAAACGACCTGCTTCGTCCCATTATTCAAATTAGTCGATGATATCCCGTGACACTTGCATACAAGTACCTGTTTCGTCCCATGTATATTAGATACATTTATTGTCTGTATCTATTAATTACTTCCTGCATTTATACCCTAAGTCTTTTATACCTTACCTCATTATCAATATTCTAGCAGACCACAGATCAATAGCAATGAATGTACCGAATAACTTTCTACAACCGTCCTTAGTTTTTTTTATTTATTTAACAATCGAATATATGAGTTAAATATCCCTAAAAGATGGAATGTGTATTTTATTTTTCATGTTTTGGAAAATATTTACTAGATTCATTCATAAGGAGATTTATTTCATGCACACTCGAATTCAAAAAGATTCTATGAAGGAAAATAAAAATTTCACGAAGGGTACCTTCCACCTAAGTCCACCTCATACAACGACAGGAATCAGTCTGGCATCGGCTATGCACGCAACATTGCGCTTACGAGTAATCGATTGGTAGTACTGTAATAATCGTAATTTATGGAGGATTTATTTTTGGCATTGTATAGATAAGAACGAACTCTCTGTGACCTCCTATAAATTTGAAATAAACAACAATAACAGGATGCCCCATTCTGTCTGTAGCTGCAATTAATAAAGATTGCATGAGTGACCACACAATTCAGGGTACCTGAACACTGAACAGCTGATTGACGCACACACCAGAAATCACCGTAGTGTGATATAAAATGCATGGATGATGTTATCACATACCATGTCATACGTCAACAAAGTTCGACAACACCCAAGAGATGTAGTGGATTCCAAAAAGGTAGAATACCTTGCTCTTGGGGTTCCGATGACATCATGGACATAGGACTGAGAGCCCATTGTCATGGCCCGGGGATGTGACTGGTAGCCCATTGTCATGGCCCGGGGATGTGACTGGTAGCCCATTGTCATGACCCGGGGGTCATAGAACATTAACTTATGACATTAGGCTTACTGCACTGGAAGGTGTTCAGAATTCAAGTTGTTTACCTTTCACGAAGTGTTCACGTCATAGGCCAATGAACATGTATAATAAATGCAACGGTTTTATTGTACAACACATATACAGGGTGTCCCAAAAATGTACCGAGACAAACATGGAATAATTCTGTGTGTGATAAAGGAACATTCTTGGAATTTTGGTAATCTGACAAACATAAGATCTGAAAGTTTCTCTAGGTGCCTCTGCATTTGGGGAGTTCTACCTTTGCGTGAAAAGGTTTACAATGTTACATGTAACTTTTGACTGTTCAAGTAACAGCGATTTTATTGAGGATCTGACTGACATAATGAATTCAAATCCTGTTTTTTGACAGAGCATAGATAATTTGTACAAAGCCACTAATCTAAGCTAGTAATACTGTAATCAAAATGGCGATTCAAATCAATTATGTGGAATATTTTGTGGAAACATTAAGCAACCAATCCTAAACTTGCATTGTATAAATAAATTCAAATGCGGTTATAGTTATAAAAACCTTTTGAAACTAAACCATTGTCAACCGCTACCGAAAAGGGTAACTTGAATCGTGTGATTTTGTACCATAAATGGAACTATGCGTTAGAAATATTATGAAAATGTTCAGTTCCTTGTCCACATACAAATGTTTATGAGTTTAGCTTTTGTTCAGAAAGCGGAAATAAATGAATTGTTGAATGAGATAAAATACAATTAAATTCAGCACTGAAACGTAAAGTAGAGAATGAAACAAAAATAATTTTGAGAGGTCGCAGGTTTGACGCATATATGCTTCTTCATTATACTGTATTATTGCTTTTAAAAATTTGAATATATGCATGCCTTTTGGATCGTTATCAAAAATAATCTTTTAAAACAAAATTGAATTTTCTAAATTAACCAGCTGGTGGTGAATTGATTCATTTGACAACTTTGTAACTTGTCAGGGATCTTTGTAAGTAGGCTATGTCCTCAAAGCCGACACTCACCTTTCCAATGGTACATTGGAACCTGAGGGAAAAGTTCGTCAATTGCTCATTTACATGTCTTATATTTAGTTCAGACAGTGTGAAATAGAGGGGAATACCTGATATAGAAATGAGTCATGAGTCATATCAATAGCTAACTCCGAAACTATAAATCATGGACGTAAACAAGTAAATAACATTCCAAACGAGATTGTAAACACTTATATATAAAACGTAGATTTTTTAGAGTATCAGAACTGCTTAAGCATACAAGGCAATAGCATCGTGATTTGATTATCAAACATTTGGAGACAATTTAAGGAATATGTAGTGAACCGGTAAAAAAATGGGAAGCATAAAGAAAATCTTGTGGAGAAATAATGTTCCAAGCTTGAGTAAGTATTTTGATACTGTTTAATCGAGTAGTAGGCTTAATCTCATTTTTCTTCAAAATGGGCTCATGCTTTGTTTTGTTGAAATTGGCAAACTTTTTTCTGAGAATCTAGCAAAGTTCGTTTTTTTATTAATAGAATAGTTCTAAGTATTTATACTTAGTTCTATTTTAATTTAGCAGACTTTTTAGAGCGGCGGGTATTGGCCTAAACTATTTCAGTTAAACTTTTCCGGGGTGTGCCTTTTTCGTGTCATTTTATTGTGATATTGTGACTTTAGCATGTATGGTGCTCCCTAATCCCATTGATATGGGGATGATATTTCATGGCCAAGCCTTGGACCTCGTGCTTAGAAAAGTGTCCCCTGGCCAAAAATCCCCCCCTCCCCCCAGTTCAATAAATGAAGTCAAACCATGGGCTTTTAAGAGATATTAATCTGAATTTTTGGAGACCTTATTCTAATCGCAGGCCCAACAGATGTCAGATAAGATCATCCCTGAATAAATAAAATCTAAATAGAACACTAGAAAGATGTTACTTGACGTTGTCATAATTAGGCCTAGGCCTTATAGCCTATCCAAATTCCCCTATTTTCACTCTTCAAAGCTATAACATCAAGTTTGTTACTAGCCTAAGTTAATTTTTTTAAATTCAAGAATTCATCTAAGTTTGCTCCACATATTTCTCTTGAGTTAGTCAGTCTAGTCGAATGCCTCCCGGGGAATTCCTACATGTATGATTTAGGCTAATTTCTCAGCGGCAACAAAAATTGCCTGTTCGCACCTCCCCCCCCCCCCATCCCGTTTATCCGATCACCGGTCGTAAGTTTGTAGAAAATACATCTCATTAAGATTTAATTATTTCTAGAATTTACTGGAAAAGACTGGCAAGATCGAGTGTACGACTCTCATTCAATACCCGTGTATTGTATTTTAGTCACGTGACTCTAAATATTTATGAATGAAATATTGGTTCAGGGGGAGGATGTTTGTACTGTTTGAACAGCCGAACTCTGTTGCTGCTGTAGCCATTTTCAAAAACACACGGATGAGATGTAGTCGCTAAAACACCTAAATTACCATGTTAAAGTGCATCTGATTGGTATATTGTAGGGACCATGAACTTAAACAACAATAACCACATCATGAACCATTCGGAAACAAGGTTTTTAGTGGCAGACTACGTGAAATACAGGATGCAAAGACAGGGATATGAATACAACTGCAATCAACTTCCCCATCCAACAAGAATCAACCAAGTTTTGAGGATTTTAGGAGATGAATTTGAACAGAAATACAGATCTAACTTTGAGGATATGAGGAACCAAATACACATTACCCCAGACACTGCCCAGCAATGTTTCTTACAGATCATAGCAGAACTTTTTAGAGATGGAGTAAGGTGGGGGAGAGTTATAGCTCTGTTTGCATTCACAGGCACAATTGCTGCACAATGTGTTGAACAAGAGATGCCAAGTCTTGTGGACAATATTGTTGACTGGTCATCAAACTACGTAAACACACATCTTATGTCATGGATAAATGAAAATGGAGGCTGGGTACGTACATTTATTTTCATATTATGGTTGCAAACGCATTGCAATTTTAGAATAAAACCAAAAATTGCATTTGCAATGATGTTATTGGAATACATACGTGTATATCCTATCTGATATCAATGCACAAGTCTTGAAAGTTATACCCTATCAGTGATTCCAAGAATGATGCATTCGTTTGTTCTGACATCACCGTGGAATCTGGAATTGGAAATTGTGTGGGAGTTGGATACTCCCTAACAACAGTATAGTTTGGGGCTAAAACTGACACTCACAGCATCACCATTTAGGCATCAATTAGATCGCTAAGTATGAACAATAGTCACAAGATTGTGTGGGTACTAAAACTTTGGTTCATACTTCATAGGTCATTTGTTATTACGAAGTGTCTGGAGTACCTTAAAATTTAAGGCTCTTTAGCCAAAATGCTAAAGAGCCTTAAAATTTAAGGCTAGATTTAGCTGTGATCATACTGTTTTGGCTAGAGAGCCTTTGTGTTTATAATCCGTGTTTATATTGTTTTTTATTGAAGATTTCGTCATCTAAACAATAAAACAACACTCTCGAAAGTTTTTCAACCCAGAATGCCACTTAAAAATTTCACACATGTATATCAGTATAGAGTTGCAAAAACATGGGTTCTATCAGTGTAGAACACTCTGGTATAGTGGCTAGGGTGCTCGCTTTCCACTTCTGCGGCGTGGGTTCGATTCCCCGACAAAGCACTTTTTATTTTGAATAACAAGCCGGAAGTTTGTTCTCTGAGGTCCGGAAATTATGTACACAATTTTTTCTAGAATTCTTGGGCTTGCTCCATCGCTCAATCATCAATGTTTAATGAAATTAATCACTTGAATAGTATTGGCTTTGCTATAGTCACGAGAATACAGGGAATCCCATTTTAAGATGGCAAAAAGTATGATGAAGACCTGGGGATGAAAAAGGATCTTGTTTCTTCTAGATCAGCACATCTTGACGAAGTTTATCGTGAATGCAGGGACATCAGCCCAGGGACATCACAAAATACACTTCCAAATCTATTGCCCATTAGATTTCAATGCTGATTTTAGAATTTTTCACGTGACGATATATTTTTGCATAATATTTTCCTCACACGTGAGAATTTAAGCACATGAGAGAGCACAAAGAAAATTTACAGTACAAGAGGTGAACTGTTGAGGAAACAGCGGCTTATGGAACACAACAACAACATTTTTATCCTAGCCTCCAATCCATCAATAAATGTCTATACATCAAAATCTTTACTAAACGGAAGTTGCGATTTATAGTGGATAAAATGGTAAAAATAACATTTTCTGGCTATACGTGATTGCCTGGTCTTACACCTTCTCTGGTGAACCAGAGACATATATTTTCGATATATGCATGAACATCAAACAAACAAACATTTACTTTTCAAAATCGATGTTTGAACCTTTAAAAAGCCAAATTTAGACTGAGGATTGAAAACGTTATTTTATTTGTCTCGGTAGACCGGAAGTAAATTTATTAGTCAAGCAAAAAGTGATAATGTTTTTTTATGAAGTGGGGAAGTCAAAACAGTACTAATAGAAGTCATAGTAAGCATTAGAAGATCATTTAAAACCATATAAATCAAATCGACGGCAAAGTTAGTTGAAATGACTGAAATCTTTATATGTTATCTTCTTCATCTTCGCGGACCTCAGAGAAGACACTTCCGGCTTAATAATCAGTGATTTTATCGATCAAAAATTTGTTCTCTTTGAATTTGTCTGATATCTGCTAATATGTATGTATGGCATGTATATTTGTGCTGATTGTTAAATTACAAAATAGGTTGGGTATAGAATATGTCAAAGTCGTTTGATCTTGTCCCAGAAGCAATATTTCGTCATTTCTGTCGCCTGGAATTCCTTAAAGGCTCTTTAGCAGAATTGGCTATCAAAATGCTAAAGAGCCTTAAAATTTAAGGCTCTTTAGCCAAAATGCTAAAGAACCTTAAAATTTAAGGCTCTTTAGCATTTTGGCTAGAGAGCCTTAAATTTTAAGGCTCTCCAGGCATGGCCTTGTTATTATGTAGTACAATACTGGGGTTCTTCTGATTAAAATAAAGTTTGTACTAGATGACTGACAGTATATGTTGAAGGCAAATGTGAGACTGTGTTGAATATGACCCAAAACAGTGAGAGTATCTGTTCTGTTCACCTGTGTATTTCAGCGGTATTCGTCCCGGATTCGATCTTTGGTTCAGGCAAGACTTAATTTGCTACATACTTTGATTGAGAGGTCCACAACTCGTACAAGAGGCCCTGGTGTGTACTTGTATGACTTGTATGAGTGCACATGAAAGAACACAGGGTTCCTTGAAGGAGAGGTTTCTGGGTCTATCTTCAAGGTTAATTACATAAATTACGACTGTAATGTACGGGACATATATCACCTTAATTGGTGGTAAACAAAATACAATACATTTACAATACCTTGTTAAGGCTAAAATTACTTTAAAAACAATTGTTTCAGTCATGGTCACAAGATATCCTAGACACTGGTACCTGGGAATATGATTCAGTTGTTTACAGTCTGCAGTAAAATATCCAATAAAATCAAGGACGTTAAAATTATCAGATCACCTCATATTCTCAGGGTAGACATGTGTGGCATTTCAGATCATTGTTTCTGGTACATAAAGTACCTCAATCGGTCAAGAAATTTTGATAATACTGCCTGGGGTAGTAAGGCATTCTCAGAATCAAGGATGACAAGGATTGAGATACCCACTCTCTCTCCTTGGCAATGATGGCATTAGGGGCTCTGGTTTGTTTGGGAAGCCGCTATAACATGCTAATTAGTTAAATGTAGGTCACAAGCGCATTTAAATATCAAACCCTTTAAGTTATATCATGCTTGAATTAATATTCAAATTCCATTATTCCATATCACTTTTAAAAAACTGTTAAATATAATTAAAAGTCTGCTGAATACATACAATGCAAGCAAACTATTACCCTGCGCGCAGAGTCTAGTTAAACTACACTCTGCCTAGTAGAGACCATATTACAGTTTAGTAGCCCCGCCCCCACGACAGGTACCGGTGACAGTTTGTGTAAATAAATCACTTCTGACCTACGCGCTGATCTTTCTTCCATCAGTCAGCGAGCTTGAAGAAACATACGCCAAATGCGTGCTAATTAAATATGCGCATGTCATTGGTCAATTCCGAGCTCAACGATGACGTCAGAAGGAATGACCATATAAAGAACGTCGGTCAAATTTGGCCGACGAACACTGATTGGCGCGGTGAGTTCACAGGTTTATTTAAGTTTGAAAGAGTGAAGACGAAGCTCTCTTTTAAGAAGTGAAGTCAAACGAATGCAAAGGGTAGCAAACTATAGGATTGGTAGATATAACTTCAAAATGGACAGGTGCATTTTGACAATGCCAGATGTATGATACAGTGTTTCATTGTCTTATGATCAAAATAATTGCTTGTGACAAAGGAGCACCAGATTGCAGTGAGTTAAGTGGTCAAGAATAGGTCAGCATCAGTTAATTAGACAATATCAATGAGCTAATGAGGATATCTTGCGCATTTGGTATTTTTAAGGGTGACGTATCTTTCCGTATCGATCGAACAAGATTGTGAAATCTCTCCGAATGAATGATGTTGTTTTGATGTTCATTGTGTAATTGCTCCATATGGTTAATGTTTACTTTCGCTTGAATCTGTTGTCATAGTGATACACATGACTATGAATAACAATCGTTTCATCCAAAAACAATAAAAATATATACGCTACACTACACTGGTTCTTTTTTCCAAATTATTCATTGAAAAACTTTTATTAATAGAAATCCCTCATATACAATATTATATTAAATTAGTTATACATTGTGTGACATCATTTCATAACCATTTTGCCTACACATATATCATATTACCCCTTTTATACTTTCATGTAGATTGATCATGATGGAAACTTCCTCTCTGGAATCTATCTGTCGTGATGATTTTAAAATAGAACCGTAACATCTACAGCCTTATTAGTATAATTATTAACAATATTTCATATTTGACAATAGTCTGTTGTTTTGTCATAAGATCACCAAATCAATATCATCTTCTTCATGTTCACAGTACATTCTATAAAATACAACCTCTCATAATCTCCCACACAAAAATCGATTGAATAAATAAACCACAAGCTAAATACTTATTCTGAACAGAGGTATTTCTCATAGATCTAGTCATTGTGGTATTTCTAGGAATAAGGGAACAAAACTAGAAGTAAATCTGGGCTATAGATTGCTCCTGCTCCTGCTCCTGATTGCTTGTTTTTATTTTCGGTATTTATATAGGTATTATCCTAAGATTACAGTTTAATATTTTCAACATTCTTGTGAACATCTCACGCTTGATCTAATTAACGCATTTCCCTAGAGGCAAAATATATGTTGATACAATAACTAAGACCTTGTTAAGAATGAACGCTGATTTATACAAGGTAGCAACAAATATGTTCACGAAATAATAGGTTTCGCTGGAATTGATTCTGGTCACAATAAACCTTCCATGTCTGCAATGCCTATTCTATTATATATGTAGTATAGTGTTCTTGCCATGTCAGATATTGTTCTTCATTCAGATACTATTGATTCTAACAGCTAGCTACTATTCAATGCCTAAGTTGAAAGTGTACCTTACTTACCAGGATTATTCCTTATAACCTTCTCTGATTTTTAAATATAATATATATTGCATGATGCCTGGCTATTTATGCTTATATCCAGACTCATTAATTGTTAATATCTATTCATTTTTTATTTATAATTTTTGCTTTTTTCATTTAACAACCCAGCCTGTGATATTTTTTAGTAATAGGAGAAATGGCTGGCATTTAACCGCCTACGATCGCCATTATTTTCATAATCTTGTAAATGGGTGAGGATTATGGGAATGGGAACATTGCTAGGGCCTCTATCTGTAAGAGTCCATAGCAATGAATATGATCGATAGTTATTGA